TCCTATCTATTATAAAAATTTAAGAATTTGTACAAAAATTTCTGCGATAAAATATATGCCAATTAAATATATAAATTTTTTTTCTTTCTACACACATCCAATCCCGATCAAATTTCTTTCCTACATTCCCTATATATATATATAAGTATATATATTTAAAAATTAAATATAAAAAAACATTGCGTCGTTCGCACACGCGTTATCAAACTTACCAAACACAATATTGCAATTATCATTATAGCAATTCCATGCTCATTAAACGACAAGCATAATAACAAATTTAACAACAAATGCGCGATAATTACGCGATCTTTTTCTTTTTCTTTTTCCAATCTGAATCACGCGATTCGATTTCTAAAAAAAAACTAAGCCTCTACTTTAAAATTTGTTTCAATCGATCGAATAATTTTTCAAATTAATTAAATAATTTCTATCTGTGATTTCGACCCGTCTCCCGTGATCTCGTCGCGATCGATTAAGTAATAATAACAGCGGAGCGAGCGCGGCGCGTACAATGTTATGTTTATATATTGGAATTATAATATCGTTAATTACGCCGTTCTCGTTACGCCTTCTCGTGCCTTTTAAATAATAACAATACATGGAAGGCGCGCGATCGTTAATTTATTATTGTATTTATTATTGTATACACATGAACTCTATTAATCACGAGAAGGAGAGAATGACTCGTTCGCGGAAACGACGTATCAATCTAAGAAGAATGTTGTTTTTTTCATCGTATACGTGGATCTGAACACATTCGTAATGATCGATGAACGACTTTTTTAACGATCGATTTTTAACGATCCAAACGAACGCTCGAGAGAATTTTTGTGAAATGAGATTTATGCGGAGGATTAATAGTTTTGTCTGAAAAAAGAAAAAGAAAGGAAAAAATAAAAATTTATTCGATTTTTCGATTTTTCGAGAGACGAGAATAAAAGTTGATGTATAAAAATATCGATCGAGGCTTATTTATCGAATTACCAAGCAATTGAAGTTTGATTGAAAATGAAAAAAGAGAGAGATCTGTATTCTGCGAATTTAAAAAATTTTATCATAATAAATAAGCCTTAAAATTTATTTTTACATATCAATTTTTGCATTTGTTTCGAAGTGAATACCAATATATTAATACTTTGTATATATATTGTAAAATATACTGTATGATTATAAAAAGTATTTGTATTATTGTTTTATTTATTATATCATTTATTATATCATTACCGTTTTTTTTTAATTATTTAAATCTAAACCTATTAAATTTCATCAATCATTATTTCATCGATCTATTTTATTACAATGCGTTCAAATTTATCTCGAGAAAAAAAAAACTCGATTCAACTAACATTTCTCGAAACCAACACCACTGCCAATACTTTTATATCTATCTAACTTTATATAATTTGAACTTGTCAGTCATAAATAGGTATAAGAAAGAAGAGAAAGCGGAACACTTCGTGCAAGACGTGTTTTATAACACTTGCAGTCATTTATCTTAATTTTTCGACATTTTTATTTTTCTTTTCTTTTTTTTTTTTTTTTCCCCGTACCGTAATCTAGATTTATAATTTTACCTCTTTTAAAATTTCAATCGTAAACCAACCAACTCGCTTTGACAACCGATTAATTCAACTTTTGCCCACACGATCTCAAGCACACGTATCGAATCTAATATCTCGTTAAATTCAACGCATCTTTCTATCGATTCCAATAATAATAATAACAATAATAATATACTTTAATTATATTTAGCAATAAAATGCTATATTTTGCCCACACGATCTCAAACACACGTATCGAATCTAATATCTCGTTAAATTCAACGCATCTTTCTATCGATTCCAATAATAATAATAACAATAATAATATACTTTAATTATATTTAGGAATAAAATAAAAAAAAGAACGATATAATAACATAAAGTCGGGAAATAATCGACCATCGCGATACAATTCACACGACCCTACACTATAGCACCTATTTACACGACATCTCATCGCGGACTTATCTCATCTTGGATCGTATCGAAGATCCATTAGAAGCTCGTAAATACATGGTACATATGCGCGCACGTCGGAAAGCACGGTGATTAACCCAGAAAACCCGATGATCGTACATCGACCTGCGAGTGTACTCGCGGCGAGAGAGCAAGATACAGAGAGGAAGAAGGGGAAGCAGCCTGTTTCTAAGAATCTCAACGTGCTAGCGACCATCCCTTGGAGCCTTGCCAAGCATCGGCCTATCGCAAATATAGGCGGTTAATGCTCGCCTCACACCGAATCCTCCTCTCTCCCTCTGTTTCTCAAGGGGAAATTCATTGCTCCAAGACGTATCCGTGCCTCCTCTTTGATCGTGCTAGACGGTACGGTCTTTGATGTTGTTTCGATATTGTTACAATAAAAAGCTAAAAAAAAAAAAAGAAAAAATAATAATGTCAAAGAACCGAGTTCGTGATAAGGCGTTGTTATCAATCGTTTTTCTTAATACTTCTCTTTTAAGGTAAAGATACTGTCATCCAATGGTATTGTTTGTCGAGAGATAAAAGAATAAACAACGATTAGGCTCGTTTGATCAATTAAATCCTTGAATAAGCTTAGAAATATTGGCACAACGATTTCTTTGATCGGACCATTTCGATGTTTTTATACGCTTATCAGTATAAAAACCTTCTCAGATTTGTATTTAACGTTAATTGTTAGAAGCCATCTTTTCCGAGGATATTTGAGAAGAAGGATTCCCAAGAGAAAGGGTGCTCGTGTTGGCAAGGTGGCCCGGCTAGCTCAGTCGGTAGAGCATGAGACTCTTAATCTCAGGGTCGTGGGTTCGAGCCCCACGTTGGGCGACGCCAAATTTCTTTTTTTTCCCTTTAAAAATATCGAAAAATCACGCAACATCGATCCAACGAGATATATAACCCTGAAGATTTCAATTCCATCGATACACGTTCCAGATAGATTTGATCTTCTTCTCGTTTAAGATTAATTTTGCAATTGCATTTTAATATTTGTTATATTTTCTATAAAATTTCAACCACGAATCATTGACTTATATATTTCAAAATTTGCATATGTATTTGACTCCTGTTTCATTTTATTTATTAAAACCGATATCTCGATAAAAATCGATGCGATTTCCGTCCATTTTCCGAATCGAATCGAATCGTCTCGGTAATTTTCCCGATCTGAAACAGGAAATCGATGTAATGTAAATAACAAAAATCATCGTAATCTTATCAGAATCGAGAGGCACGCGAAGGTAACGATTCTTACACGTTCGATTCGACGAGAAAAAAAAAAAAAAAAAGGCACACATTGACACATCAGCAGCGTGACAAATCCGATTTCGTCCGATCGAAATAACCAGACGCGATGGCGTGATGTAACACGTTCGTGCGTTACATACGAGATCAGACATTTCTTCGAACGCGTCACATTCGTGGGATCCTTTAATGGATCTCCCTTGATCCTCGTGCTTGCCTAATATTATCCCAGAAATTGGATAATAAACCCTATTTACCAATTAAGCAAGCATTCTGTCGTTTCTCTTCTATGAGAGAAAAAAAAATAATATAATAATACATTCATTTGTTAAAACTTGTGTAATTCTAATTCTGACAGACGAATGATTTTCTTTCTCGATCCTGCTTAATAGCTCAGTTCGAGGAATTCTAATTAATCTAGATTCTAACTAAGAAAATTTCATTATGAAAAATAATTGTTTGTAAAATTTGTGCACAAACTGTATTATAAAGGATAACACGTGAATGGATCTCCACGTTTGATTGATGATATTTCAATATCGTAATAATATTAACCAAGGAAATTTTTTTTTACGATGGAAAATTACTGTAAAATAAATCAACGTGTAAATAAAACTCGTAATAATCCACAAAACAGCTGCGAACGATCGAGAATCAAGATTAGATCCGTGATGGATTATACTTGGAATGTTGCATGAATGTCACAAGATCCGTGGATAAAGAATTTTTTCTTTTTCTTCCATTCTCATTCTTCCGGACAATTTCTTCGGAATTATGATTCACTGTGATATTTATCATCCAGATTCACGTCACATCATTGCATATTATTACAATAGCATGATTTCTCTCTGAAAGAATGTCTCACGCCACCCCTACGCTTCCTGTTACGCCTATACAACTATCAGAAACATTCGATTATATCATCCCTCCCCTCCATTCAATAAACATATATCCTCCAATAAAAAAAAAAAATCTTCCAATATTCGAAACATTCTCTCGCGAATTAAAACCAATCTTCCTTCCTTCCCTCTATCTTGTAAGAAACAAAAAAGAAAGAAAAAACAACAAATCTATCTTGATTATTCACTTCCGTAAAGGTGTAAAGACCCCCTCCTCCTTCTCCCCAAGCAAGAGAAAAGAAGGGAAGAGAAGAGAAGAAGAGTTCGGTCAGGACAGGTGCGCAGAGGCGGTGAAGAATGTTCCGAGAGGGGTGGAGGAAGAGGTTCGAAAGAAGAAAGATGGAAAGAGGGGAATGTTGAATAGGTGAGGTGAGATCGAAACGGTGCGGAATAGAAGGCCGGGGTGCCAGGTGTTTCGGAAAGTTATTTTTGATTGCAGTTCCGATGCGAGTACGTGCAGAGGGGGATAGGGCTGGTCCACGGAGTCGTGTATTTTTAGGTGGTGCACGGCATGCGGCACACCACCGCAACGTTTTCGACACGACCCGAA